TTTGCTGAGACTTTACCTTCTCAGAAAAGAATAAATGCAAATACAGCACATTTGCTTTTCCTTCAGTCTTCCTGAGCTCACCAATATATGTAGATGCAAAGGACACTACTAGTTATAATTTTATTTATTTATGGTGTTAATGCTTACATTCAGCATCAGAATCAGCATTTCTAAAGGGACTTCCACTTTTTTAAAATTTGTAATTTGCTGTGTCTGCTCATTCTTGCTGAGTGCCAATATTATAAAATACAATTGAAAACTTTTATGAAAGCTTATAGACCATGATTGGATGAGGAAAGATGGAGTTCTAAGGTCGGTTCTGCAGCAGTTTTAGTGCCTACTGGCACAGTGCCATAGTTACATTTTTTGATTAATACTGATATGCCAGAGGTGGTGCATACATCAGATTTCCTTGTTCCTGTTTCTTTCAGTTCCCCTCTGAATTGGGGCTCAAGGGGATGCAGACTCAGTCATGGGCCATGCTGATGTAGTCAGTGACATGAACACTTTAGTAAAGAGTTTAATGCTGGCCATCAGTTCCATACTGCAATCTGACCTTCAGCATTTGTTTGTAATTCAGGCTTTGTTTCACTTGGTGATGCTGCTCAGGACACACACATTGATGTTACTGCACTTTGTGAGAATGTGGTCAGTCCGTCTGCATAAAATAGTGATTGGATTGCTGAGAATCTCCCTTTAACATATTCCTTCTAAAATCAGGGCATTCCTCTTGTCATGTGCCTTTCCAGCTTCCTTGCTATAGCACACATTGCAAAAATTATTCTGTGTCTCTGAATAGATCTGTGCTGCTTAACTGCTCCAACCCATTATATTATAAATTTGTTTCTTGTGTTTCAAATTTGTGCATAGGGGATGTATTTGGGGGGACTTTTTATATTCATGAAAAAGGAAAACAAAATTGAAAGTGCTCAGAAAAATGAATATGGAGCTAATGTAGTCTGTTTTTGCACAGAGTAAATATCAAGCTAATACATAAAATTTATCCTCTATAGTAAATCAGCAATATGTCTTATTTTAGGCCTCTCCTGTGACTACTATTTTTTTAATGCAGTATTCAGTCATGCTGATTTATGCTACACTATCCTATACTGTGAATATTTTGCAGAGTATTATCAATAATATAATTTTATCTTTGGGTCCAGATGGAATGAGCTTAGAACACAAAGCAGGCAGAGAGCATGATTCCTGCCTCAAGTAGTTTAATGCTTGAAATAAACTTGGTGTAAAATGTGAGACAAGGACACAAGATACTGGGGAATAGAGGACTGGATCAAAAAGGCATCAGGCAATTAATAGGGTATTATAGGCTGTAAGGGCTCATGTACTCAATGCAATGGCCCTGTTTAACTGGAAAGGTTTTGTAAGTGTCATGGCAGGAATCCTTCTGGAGGATAGAACTGTGAGCAGTGGCATCACAGAACTACTCAGGATAAGTGCTGCTATATATGGAGAGAAGCAGCATTTTCATTAGTCCCATTAGACAGCCCATATAAGAAACTGGAGCAATGGGAGAGGACTGGTGACACTAAAATAGGTAACAGGCTCTGGTCACACTTCCTGCACTTTAGACCAAGTCATGAGTAAGTGACTGAAATGATCTTGTTTATTGTGGGCCTCTACTAGCAATAGCATTCTTGCTTACTTAAATCATGTAGTATTTCCTTTGAATTGTGCTAAAGGGGGACTGCCCTTTTGTTTTATTGATTGATCTGCTGATCTTGCATAAAGGAACTGCCAAAAGTAAAATCTAGTAATTTTTAAGTGTAGTCCTCCTCATCTACAATACTGTAGTTTAGATTTTTTGTTGTGAATTCTAGGTCAAATCCAGTCTAATCCAGATGTGCTCTCAGTCCTATTGTTTGGTGCGTCATGCGAAATCTTATTTAAGGTTCATGTCCCAACATTGTACTGTATACTAAATAGTTCAGCATAAGCCTGTCCTGTCTTTATTTGAGCTATTTTAATCTCAGAGCTGTGTTTTAGACTGATTTCAGAAGTGTACTCTCAGCCTTTTGGGTGGTACTTCTTCATGTGGAAAGTTTGCATGTATGTGAGTGTATGAATGTGTGTCAGTTTTCCACAAAACCTGAATTCATTTTAAAGTCTGTTATGCTTTATGTTCTGCTATGGTGATTAATATTATCCAGGGAAGCGTAGTGAAAATACTTGATAGATCAGTTAACTAAAATTAGTATTGGATACACCACTGATGTACTCTTTCATATCTTACATTTCTGAAAAATTGAAAAACTGTTACAAAACTCCTTCTTTCAGCACTGTGTATCTTCTTTGTAGACATCTACATCTTTTTTCTTAGAAAAAAAAACGTTTTGGATGACATGGTTGTCTGAGATTGAAATCTGGAAATGAGTTGCACGTTTATGTTAGGACACCTATGAACAGCTGTAACAAGAAATTGCTAGGCATTTTGCATTGACAGAACCCAGGGACGGACATGTAAAAATTAAGCAAGTCAACCATGTTTAAATATGTTATTCTAGATCATATTTTCTGTGGTAATGTGTTAGGATTCAACTGTATATAAAAATTATATTGCTGATGAATGTAGGAAGAAATATGAGAATGGGGAGGAAGATAGTGAAAAACTGATTTCTAAGGGACCACTACTGATTCTGAAGTTTACCGGTGTTAATGGGTAAAATCCATTCTTGAGATTAAAAAATTTTCTGGTCTGAGTTCAACTTGTGATAGTAAGTTTTAGTCTCTGAACATTGGAGATGTCTGGTCTACATTAAAACCATGCCATGGATACTCCAACATTTTCTAAGGAATAGAAGTAGCATTTGTTAAGATCTGATTTGTGAGAGGTGCCTCTGCCCAAATTAAGGTGTAAACGAGACCATATGCCAAAAGTCAATAATTCGTTAAGAATATAATAATAAGAGTTTATTTGATTATAACTGTAAATGTGAGGTAGAGAGTTAGAAAGAAATAGGAACTAGCAGGGGGAAAATGAGTGAGAGACCGAGAGGGAGAGGAAGAGAGAGAAGGAAAGAGAGAGAGAGAGAGAGAGAGAGAGAGAGAGAGAGAGAGAGAGAGAGGGAAAGACAGTCACCACCTGTGGATCCTGTTGGTCCATCTTCACCCTGGGCTTCTTGATGGTGGAGGTCCTGAAGCATTCTTCTGGTGGTGGGGGTCTCCTGTTGCTCATCTGGGCGTACAACCCTTATACAGTCCAAATTCCAGGTATTCGTGGAGGCATATTCCGAATTTCCATGCAAAGCGAGGATGGGTGTGCCTCCATTTGAATGTGAAGTGAGGCTGGACATTGCTCCACTTGCATGCTTCCTTGGGGTGGGGGTTTGGTGGTTGCAGATACCACTTGTCCTGGGCATCTTTACTGTTGCTCATCTGGGCGTACAACCCTTATACAGTCCAAATTCCAGGTATTCGTGGAGGCATATTCCGAATTTCCATGCAAAGCGAGGATGGGTGTGCCTCCATTTGAATGTGAAGTGAGGCTGGACATTGCTCCACTTGCATGCTTCCTTGGGGTGGGGGTTTGGTGGTTGCAGATACCACTTGTCCTGGGCATCTTTAACCAGTGATGTGTATATGCAGTTTGCCACAGCAGGGATTTTAGATATGTTAAGTTAATCACGATGTGACCTGACTCCACCAGGCTTGGAATTTGCACAAAGTCATCTCTTTTGTGCTTATCTCAAGTTGTTGCTTTGGTGGCTAGCACATCTTAGGGCGAATCCCTTCTGTGGCATAGAGAAGAAAGTAGGGAGAGAGAGACAGAGAGAGAGAGAGAGAGAGAGAGAGAGAGAGAGAGGGAAAGACAGTCACCACCTGTGGATCCTGTTGGTCCATCTTCACCCTGGGCTTCTTGATGGTGGAGGTCCTGAAGCATTCTTCTGGTGGTGGGGGTCTCCTGTTGCTCATCTGGGCGTACAACCCTTATACAGTCCAAATTCCAGGTATTCGTGGAGGCATATTCCGAATTTCCATGCAAAGCGAGGATGGGTGTGCCTCCATTTGAATGTGAAGTGAGGCTGGACATTGCTCCACTTGCATGCTTCCTTGGGGTGGGGGTTTGGTGGTTGCAGATACCACTTGTCCTGGGCATCTTTAACCAGTGATGTGTATATGCAGTTTGCCACAGCAGGGATTTTTGTTTAGATATGTTAATCACGATGTGACCTGACTCCACCAGGCTTGGAATTTGCACAAAGTCATCTCTTTTGTGCTTATCTCAAGTTGTTGCTTTGGTGGCTAGCACATCTTAGGGCGAATCCCTTCTGTGGCATTAACAGTGTTTGAGACAGACAAGGGATTCTATAATTCCTTGCAGCAATGCCCTGGGCTTTCACAGTTCTCTGCATATCACATTCTGTTCCATCGTTTCACAGAATAGAATGAATTTCATTTCATTTTCCTTGAAAATTTATTTGGCCTAATGTCTTGGCAGCAGTTTACAGACTTCTCTAGGTTACATGGCTGCCAGCAAGAATAAAGAAATGGTTTCCAGTAAATTTGCTAAATTAAATATTTGGGGTCTTTTTCTCTGATATCAGTCAAACTCATTTTTTAAACTTCATCCAAAGAAATTTTCATGCAATTTGATCTCAAAAACCTAAAATAGCTCAAAAAGCTAAACAATTTTAGACCAGAAGTAAGATGCAAATTATGGAGAGCTGGGGTAATTAGTCCCATATATATCACTTGCCAAAGATTACAGTTAGTGCCTGTCTATGGAAAACTCGAACTGTAGACAGGATGAAATTTCTAGGAAGTACAGTGTAGTCCACCTGTAACTATTGAACAAATTACCAGAGGGTGTTAAGAACTAGACCAGGCAAAATAAGATTTTCACAATGCTGTCTTCAGAATTTAAAATAATTTTAACTTTTCACTTATAGAATCAAATAGAAACATTTTGTAACAGTTTGTTACTGATTTTCAGTATACATCAAAAGTGGTTGTTTTTTGTTTGTTTGTTTTCCTCCTCACAGGTGCAGCTAGTTACAACAGTTTTTATGTATTTTGCAAAAATTTCTGCCAAGCTGTGAAGCCTGGGAAACTGAGGGTCCGCTGCAGTGTGTGTAAACAAGGAACCCTGACGTTGGCAAGGGTAAGCTTTTTTGGATTTGTTTCAAGATTTTGGAGTATATGGAAATGATATATCTAGTCTTTTCTATTTGCATACATGTGGCTACGTGTATGTGTATATCTTCTTACTCTTTCTTTCTTGCTGTTTATAACTGAGAGGAGTAATTCAAAGATATTTGAAAATTCCACTCACTTATCTCCATTATTTGCAGCACATGCAAGGAACATAGTGCAAACTAGAGCTCCAGTCCTGGAAAAACATACTTAGCTCTTTACTTTAAGGTCTAATGGTTAACCTGGTAGCATGCACAATGCGTACAGCTATATGTGTGCTACGAAGATTGGATTATAGATGCCTGTGCAAAGACTGAAGCAGTTGTTAAGGCCATGGAAAGACCTGAATTCAGATCTGGATTGTGACCATTATGGAATGAGACCAGAAGGGTTTGAGTGGCTGAACAGTTGACAATATAACCTCACAATTCGATGATAGAAAGGCTATTATATAAAGTTCCAGTGTGGTATATTTATAAATAAGGTCTGACTGCCTGGAATGTATGTGGGCCTACATTCTTTTGGCAAATACAGAGTCAATAACACAATATATATAATATATATTTTTCACAATTTTATCACAAGCTGATAAATTCAATTGAATGAGCAGATTACAGCTACTTCTTTTTTTCCATTAGCATATTTTACAGTAAAAGTGCAAAGAAAGTAGCTGGAAACTTGTAGTGGAAGCTGTTCCAATTTTCAAGGTTGATTAAAAAAATCCAACCTTTCAGAAGATTAGAGGACGTAGTTCAGCATAAAAGTACAAAAGAGGAAAGGAAGATATCTTTTGGAGAGTATCAAATGATAGTTTTAGTCTGGTTTAGTTTTTTAATAATGATCGTGAAAATAATTTTCACTTAAGATTCTTGTTACTTTTTCCTCTAAACAAAGAAAATCTGTTATCATTCTTTTCCTTCGCAGTAGTTAGGAACAGTGAGTGTGCTGTTCCTGCAGTTTGGACTGGCAGTACTCTGGACTTGCAAAGTACAGTATTTGCAATATAGGTGCACTTATTGTCATGAATATGCTATGCAACACTCAGTTTGTTTAATAAATATATAACATCTACCTCAGTCCTGTGGTAATAAAGATTAGGTGCAGATTTGGCATGTGCCTGGCCCTTTTGAACCTCTTTTCTTCTCATTTTCTGGTCCATCTTCCAGGGAGAGAGAAAATTATTCCAGATGGTAAGGCTTCAAATATGTACTGAGGCTCATTTATGTTTCAGTACTATTTAGAGACCTCTCTGCATTATGGCCAGGCAAAAGTGTGACCTCACAGCAAGTGTGTTGTATCTGCTCTGCTTTCTTCAGGGCTCTGCAGTCTACAGTAGACAAGTTCTGTCCAGCTCTTCCTGTCAATCATTTGACTTCTATGCACATTAAAAAAATTCAAATAAGTATATTACCCCAAACCCTCTATCTTTCCCTTCCAGCCCCGCAGGACTGCCAGTGATTGGTGATAGACATCTCTACTTGTACTACAATTGTTTTCCTTTTACAGACAAATTAGTAAAAATTAAGTTGACATAAACAAACCATAAAAAAGCTTGTCTGTACCACTACACTACAGATTTGTCAGCAAAGCCACTCTTTTTCTAAAATCTCTTTCCCACCCCACCATTATTCCTAAACTGTACCTGACCTTTACATGGCAACATAGCAAGTTTCTTGAGAAGCTCCTGTGTGTCATAAGCACCAAAGCACCGTGTAAGCCAGCATTTGTTACATTAATTCTTTTACTGAGATGAAAGTGAATACCTGTGTAAAGCCCACACAAAGCTCTGGGCAGCCTTCACTTACTCTACATGCTAATCCTTTTCTTACCTAAACCACAAATGACCAGCCTAATTAAACTGAGCTTTCTTTTTCATGGTGTGTTGACTGACACTTTTAAATATTGCTTATTCATTTAAACAGTCTTATTCTAAAACCTTATTTAACTGTCATGCCCATTTGCATAGCATTATTTTAATATATGATGCTCAAAGTAAATTTATGGTACTATATTTCTATGAAATTAAAGAGCCCACTGTTTTTTATTTTTACCAAACACATCCATCTAAATATTAAATTTGTCATTTTCCAGCTGACACTTAGGCTGACATTTAATGAACATTTCATGACCTAATGTCTTATAGGAGATATATACCAGGTTGATTTAATTATAAGAAAACATCAGTCACTGCAAAACTATCACCTCTCCCTAGTTTCTCTAATTAATCAAGCACAAAAGCATGTCTGGAAAGACTGGAGTGTGGGAGTCCTGCGTAGGCCACTTACAAGCCTACCACTAACTTTCTTCATATAGCTTGCAAATTTTAGTCCTTAGTTTCACACTGCTGTTAGCTGGTTGATTGAGAGGTTTTAAGCTTTTAAAAATATTTATTTCATATACATACAATGCTGCAATTTATTTCAGTAGCCATGATTCAGATAGTTAGAGTATTCCTCTTTCCAGAAAGAAACCCACAACAAAGCACTAGAAACCCCAAACCAACCAACCAAAAACCCACAAAAATTATGTCTGATTATACCCATCACATTTACAGTTCTTCTTTTGGAGCTGTAACAGTGTTAACATTCACAGTGTTAATTCTGTAGAGAAAATGAAAATATGTACCTGTGAATGGAAGGCTTGATTCTTCAAACTGATTTGCACCAGGCTATATACAAACCCACACTTTTTCAATGTAACTGGCTCTGTGATGTAGTCCTGGTATAAAAGACAGTAACATTTGTTTTGGTATCTGTTTGTCATAATGCAGAGTTCAGCCAGAGTAAAGAGTCTGGATTGAAGTGTAACAAATACTTTGGGTCTCCCTACTCAGCCACAAGTGCTATGGAGAGGGACTAGTGTGGAGACACATTACTCGTGATTCTTCGTGTTGTATACTTGGGAGTTAGTACTGGTTGAGTTTTTGGTATATCCTCTAGTACAAGCACCAAAGTTTGTCATAGCTTCTTCTATACTTATCAAGTGTTTCTTGTAGTTCACATCATTATTTCAGATATTTTCAGACATGGGGAGTTATATTGAGGTCTGATTTAACACCCCATGGTTTCGATGAGACTTAGTTTCTGGCAATTACAACACATCCGTCCCTGCCCTCTGCACTCGAGTAGTCTCCCGAGTTCACAGGTTTTCGTAAACAGTCTCTGTCACAGAACTGCTCTTCCATTGTTTGAAACTAAACTACAAAATAAACACCCATTGAATTGCATGTGATAAAGTATGATCTCATTTACAGGCAGTGGAGATGTTAAAAATGTGATTGAATTCTTGAGACTGGATGATGTAGGTATTTGTCTCTCCAAAATTACATGTCTACTGTTAGGTGAAAATATTTTTGATGCATTTTAGTTAACACATGACAAACACTGTGTGCTAAAATACTTGTATTGAATTCATAAGAAAGTTGCCACTGTAATGAGTGTTCCTTTGTCATACTCAAAAAAAGTTAAAAAAAATTTATTTTTGGGTTCCTGATGATGAATGTGTTAGTACAAAAATGACTAGGGTTAACCTACACTAACCCTAACCCTAACGGATAACCCTAAACCTGACACTACCCCTAATGGGTAAACCTAACCCTAACCCTAAACTCAGTTCTAACACTAATGGCTTAACGCTAACCTTAACCAAAACCCAAATGCTAATGCCAACCCTAACCCTAATCATAAATGTAATTGCTAACTGTAACCCTAACACTAGCCCTAACCATAATGGGTAATTCTAACCCTAACCCTAATGGATAGCCATAACCCTAACCCTAAACCTAATGGCTGACACCTCACTACAGCATTAAACCTAATGCTGACGCTAACCGTAATGGCTAACCCTAACCCTAATGGCCAACACTAACCCTAACCCTAAGGGATAACTCTAATCATAACCCTAATCCTAAACCTAAAGGGAAAAGCCTCACAATAACCCTAAACCTAACACAAACCCTAAACCTAATGGCTGTAACCACAACCCTAATGCTAACCCTGACACTATCCCTAACGATAAACCCTAACCCTAATCCTAACCCTAACCCTAACGCTAACCCTAAGCATAACCCTAAACCTAGCCCTGATGGCTAACCCTAACCCTAACTCTAACCCTTCCTTCCTTCATTTTGCTAATGGAAGTAATACTTACAGGAAATTACATGTATTCAATGTATGTGCTTCTTTCTACATAAATAATGAAAAATGTCTCAATTCTGACATCTAAATTACCATAACTTGGTGCTGATGTTAATGCTGCCTTGAGAAGACCAGTGTAGAGAAAATGAGTTCTGGGAACAGTTTTTTTTCCCCCAGGTTTCCACAGATCCAGGAAATCCTTCTGCATTAGTTATATTAAGTCAGCACACTTAATCATAAACCTAATTTTTCTTTCTGTTGAACCATTGTCTTTTGAGAGTGAGAGAACATCTTAAGACACAGGTACATTATTCTGTTGTGTATGCCCAGCCCAGCTGTGCCAGGATTCAAGAGGAATCAGGCATATTCTGATCTTCCACCTACCTGCTGCACAGGGAAATGTACTCTTTTGTGCATTTGTTTCTCTCATGAACTGACCTGACCGTGGCAGAGGTGCTAAATATGTAGTGCGGGACTGTACTTTGATAGCAAGCCCTGTATCCTAATGGTGTTTGTAGTTCATATCTTTCCTAAGATACAAACCTCTATCTGTCATATCCATTATATAGTTTGAGCAGTTTCTAATAACAAAATCTGTGTCAGAAAGGAATATTTTTTCATCATAGGAAAGGAGAATCTATTACTAAATGGCCTGACCAAGGAGACAAATATTTTTGGTGTTTTTACTGTAATTCCACAGTTGCCATCCTTATAAAGGATTTGTGTCATCTGCCTTCCTTATTGTTCTTCTGTTGTTTGCAGTGACTTGGTACAGAGCAACAGCCTTAAATAAATTTAGTGCTGAGCTGACTCAGAATTTGGAATAACTGGT